GTAGAAAGTACAGGTATTTGTGTTCAACATGTAAGAAGTAGAAAGTACAGGTATTTGTGTTCAAAATGTAAGAAGTAGAAAGTACAGGTATTTGTGTTCAAAATGTAAGAAGTAGAAAGTACAGGTATTTGTGTTCAACATGTAAGAAGTAGAAAGTACATGTATTTGGGTTCAAGAAGTAGAAAGTACAGGTATTTGTGTTCAAAATGTAAGAAGTAGAAAGTACAGGTATTTGGGTTCAAAATGTAAGAAGTCAAAGTAAAAAGTGGTCAGAAAAATAAGTAGTGGAGTAAAGTACTGATACCAGAAACATGTACTTAACTACAGTAAGGAAGTATTTGTACTCCACTACTTCCCACCTCTGATGGCCTCACCTACTTTCTTCTTCTCTTCTCTGCAGAAAAGCCGTTTTATGTCCTCATTGTCGGCGGCTGGTCGTTTTCTCTGTACGCCATCCAGCTGGTGGGAAGGAACCTTCAGACCATTCTGCGGGAACACTGGAACGTGGCGTTAGGTGAAGAAGACCTTTGAAGATTTCTTTTTTAGAAATAAGGCCTGCTTCTCCACAAGTGCGAGGAAACGGCTTGTAGCTGCCACATTTTTGCCGCTCTTGGACTACGGGGATGTTGTGTACATGAACGCCTCAGCTCACTCCCTTCATCTGCTGGACGCTGTCTACCATGGGGCTCTGAGGTTCATAACCACCTGTAAACCCCTCACACACCATTGCACGCTGTACTCTTTAGTCAACTGGACATCATTATCAATGCGCAGATCACTGCACTGGTACAAATTAATCTATACCTATGCTTGGACTGCTGCCCCTCTACATATCCACTTACATATCACACAAACAGTACAGCTATAGCCTACGATCTCAACATTACATCACTCTGTCCGTCCCCTCAGTTTGCACGGTGCTTGGGAAAAAAGCCATATCATACTCTGCCCCCTCGACCTGGAACACACTTCAGCAGGAACTTAAGCTGACCAGTTTGATACCCATCACGGATTTTAAACTAATTTTAAAAATGCTGGAGAAATCATCTGTGGGTGTTTGCACCTGCTTTATCTGAATACTTTATATGGATTTCAATTACTATTTTTTTTACGATGTTGTATTTTATTGTTGCCTCTGTGTTTAGTGTCCTGTCTGTCTGTAACTTTGTGTGGTAGTGTTACCACTGACAGGTCTCTCTTGCAAATGAGACCTTGTGTCTCAGGTGCCGTTTACACGAGGAGAAAACTGCTTGTATCTGCATAGTTTCGCGTGCGTATAGCCCTATTATTTACACGAGGCCGATAGAAACTGACCCCACAAACGATAACGGGTCCCAAGGTGGATAGATTTGCAAACGAAACTCTCTGGGGGGTCAACCGAGTCCGTGTAATCACCTCTATACGAATATTTCCTGAAAAAATAGCGATAGCCCCGCCTCTCCCCCCCTCTCCTGCTCACTGCTGTAGCAACTATCAAAAATAGCTGTGTTAATTAAACGCACAAGGGGTTCTTGAATGAAATAATATTATAAAAGGCAAACCAGAATTGTTAACGCCCAATATACTCCTTAAACAAAATAAACAGAGTCAGATTTCATGCATTGATCCATTATATTGACAAAGGTGCGATCTCACCCGGTGTTTGTAGAGAATATCTCTCTTTCTGAGCCGTCCTCTCCACAGGTCGGTCGATGCAATATCCACAGATTCGGTTTCTTTCAGTTAACTTCCCCGTTGCATTTATCCATATGCTGAGGAAATGACTATATCCCGCTGAATACCAGCAATCGCCACACACACTTTCTCCTGTCAGTAGCTACTGCTAGTGCTACTGCTACTGACCATGCTACAGATATTAGTGCAAAATCTACAGCTCCTCTACCACAACCATCAGCAACAAGTGGACATGGAGAATTACATGAACTACATGTTGCTAAATACACCGCGGGGCTTAAACAGAAGGGTAGCCATGGCAACTTTGCTGCAGGCTGCTCCGGGCTGCTCTTCTTCGCGGCTTTTGGTGTATTTTGGCGGAAGTTACAGCGCCACTTACGGTCCCGGCATATGTACTACAGCGTTTCCAGCGGCCTCGTTTGAACAGACACGTTAAATGAAACAAATGCATGTGAACGGAAGACTTTTTTGAATACGCATACTGTGCATAAACGCAAACGTTCCCGTGTGAGCGGGGCCTCAATGAGATTTTACACCTGTATAAATAAAGGCTAAATAAAATAATAATAAAAAGAGCCTTCATAACACAAACATTTTATAGATAATAAAACACTTTTGTTTATTTGCCTCACATCGCAACAGAAAGACGCTCAGGTGTGTTGGCACGCAGCCTTCATCAGAGCGTATTCATTTACAGATTGGATTTGGTAAATAAAGGGCAGAGTTAACACAGCTGGGGAATGGATCCAGTTATCTAGAAACTCATCTCATCTCAAATGGCTGCAGATACAGGGACTCATCACAACTATTTAGTGAAATCATGTTCACCAGAAACAGGTTTTATTATCTGTCATCATGTACCTTATTCATATTGGTTAAAGAACTTGATAACACAATGTTTACAGCCATCATGTATTCACTACTAACACCATGTTGGAAGAGAACTCACCTCTCCATAGCTTCTCCTTGGTTAACTGGACTTATAACATTCACACTGTACTTTTTATATTTACATCTCATTGAATATTCCATTCCTTGCACACTTTATGTAAATAAATTGGCCCTTCAATAGAGTTTCTTTATTTTTATTTCTGAGACATTTTATAGATTTTTTTAATCATCTGTACATTTTTCTTTTAACTCTCTAGTGCTGGTTTATTTCTATTTCTATTTTGAGATGTTTATATTTTAGAATGGTTTATTTCTAGACACTAGATGGCAGTAAAGGATTATTTGAATATGCCTCATTCACTCATAGTCCCAGATTATCCCACGTTATTTAGTGGTCAGTAAATTACTACAGGTCCTTCAAATTTAAAAGCTTCTGATCATGTGTGCCCTAAAGTTGTTATTAAAAAGAATAATAAAACCCTGTAAATTATATATGTTCCTGTGTTTCCTCAGACTACGTGACGGTGGTGGGCTTCGTCACCTTCGCGGTGTGTTACTGGTACGGCCCCCTGGTGGACGAGAAGAGCATGAACATCCTGTCGTGGACGCTGCAGCTGTTCGGCCCAATATGGTCTAGCAGCGGCCGCGGCCAGTACACGACACTACACGACACGCCCACTACACGACACGCCCACCTGACACGACACTACGGTGGCTGAGAGACATTACCGTACATGGCAGATTAAAAGCGAATTGACGACATTTATTATTATTGAGATCGTACATGGCAGATTAAAAACGAATTGCAAATGTTATTGTAGCATTTTAAGCAACTATTAGGCAAATAAATTAATAACCTAGTCTATCCGTTTGAGACACAGCAGTATAAACTTTCAACCCAAATCATTTTGTCAACAAACGGTGGTTTAGTAAACTTTTTTTTAATATATAAAATAGGTATTAATGAGATAATCTATTGATTATGTTTGTCTAACTGCTACACATGTATTATTACTTTATAAATTAAAAGTACTAGGGGTCTATTACAAAACCTTTGAAGGAATCGCATCAATTAAAATAAATGTATGGCAAGTATGATCAAATTAACATAATGTCAAGATATAGCCAATAGACAATCAACATGCTTTGAATATAAAGGAAGAAGAACAATAAACAGATGAACATTTAGGTTTTATGTGTAAATTGTGAACAAACCATCTTAATACATCTGGCAGTCTAAGACAGCAAACTAAGCTTCTTTAACTGCTGCTAGAACACAGTTTTACCATGGGGTATTTCTAACAAGACCAAAAAGATATACAAGGCTTCCAAAACAGAAGAAACCAACTCAATACAGTATTTTAATTTCCTTCAAAACGACAAAAGCACTAATAAAAACCAAATAACAATAACATAAAGGAAAAGTAATTGAAGTGGTTGCCTGTTGTAAATACCTTGGTATCTGGCTTGATGATTGTCTCTTCTCTTGCGTTCGGTCATACCCCCCTTCCCATACTATTATCGGTCAAAATTGGCCGGTGTGTTTTGCACAGTGATATTTCTGGAACCCCTTATCCCATTTTGATGGTTGACATCTCATTTGAACAGTCAAAGCCAGAATGACAGCAGGGGTGAATTTCATTTTATAATTTTGCAATAAGTCAAAGATATGTTTACTGTATATTATAAAAATGCTTGTCATGTAGGCATACTGGAGATGGGAAGGCTTTAGTCAGTGTTGTAGCTGAGATTCTTACCGTTCCAATGATGTATTAATAATAACTTGGATTTATATAGCGCCTTTCATGAGCCCCAAGGTCGCTTTAAAAAGAACAGGAGTAGAAACAAACATAACAAAAGGCAGTCAGACGAACAGTTAGACAGACAAAACAAATAGATTTGGGGCCAAAGACCTTGGCAGACTTGAGGGCCCTTTTGAAGGAGTCAAGCGTGGGGATGTTGCAGATCTCCGCAGGGAGAGATGGCCAGAGTCTGAAGACCGCAGGTTCCGGGGTAGGGCATGTGGGAATTGTATTGATTTGATACAAGCAAGCCAGTGTTTCATTGTGTACTTTCAACTACAGTATATGGTCCGGCAAGTTCAGCATTCACTGCATTCACTGTGATGAATATACAATAAGACACTGATACCGTTTTCCTCAATGAACATTTATTGAACAGAACATCATGTGGAAAATCAGAGGGGCACTATTCAAGCTGGTCTGCTTAAAAAAAAAAAAATAACCTTTTAAATTGATCCCAACAGTAAAATCAACATGATTTTAAATAAAAATGTAAGCAGCCAGGATTGACCTGCAGGAGGTTAAAGCCTATTTAAAAACTCCTCGGAATCCAAAGCTCTTCGAAATCTTTCACTGGAGTCCTTCAGCCTTTGGTGCGCTTCCTCACTCATGTTCTTCGTGAGGTAATGAGAACAAAGTTCCATCTCACTGATAAGACAAGATGGTATAAAGAAGTCATATATGTAATATTATAAATTCACATGCATCAGGGGTTGTACACTTTAAATGGAAATTGTATTAGCATTCTCCTCATGTTTCCAGCTTACCTCCAGTCATACTCGGGTCCACATTTATAAGTTTCCTTGGCTCTTTCAAGGGAAACCGAGAGTACAGCTGCAAGGGCGTAGACTGTCGCCTGTGTCATGAAGGGATTAAAGCCACACGTTTAACAGTTAGAGTAAAATGTAGACATCCAATAAAGGTTGTGCCATTCTGCAGGTGACAATTATGCCAGACCAATTGGCATCAACATTCTACTGGACATTGACCATGAGTTTAAGTGCAACATATGTAATTTTATATAATGTGTAGTTGACAAATAAAAAGTCAGTGAAATCTAACCTCTGGCAGAAGCACATCCATGACGAATGCCACCTCATCTGTGAACCTTCTCTCCGTCTGTGTCCGGACGGAAGGTGTCCGAGTCCAATTTGTTGAGCTCTGGGCGTGCTCCATCACGGAGTGTTGTGTTGTTTGTCTATAGGTGAATAAAATAGAATACAATTTCAGTGACTTTAATATTGGAAATAGTTAACTCCTTAAACAAGCAGCAATGGACTGGCCTGTATAATCCTATGGGACAAAGCTGGTCATACTTCCTCACTTTCAGAAGGTAACCCTTTAACTGCCAGCGCCACCATTTGGTAGAACACATTTTGTGTCTTGATATCTTGTTGAAAAAAAAAAAAGTTTAACTCGATCTGATTCAGCCAGCTCTACCCTTCTGGTTGACATGTTATGCACAAAACAACCTCTAGATGTCACTGTGGTTCGAACAGAAAGCCCTTCAACTAGTTTAAATCTTTATATATACAGTCTATGGATTAAATGTCAGGCCTACAGCATGGCCACAAACCCCATCTAAAAACAGAGGCCTGATTGCATCCACCTGGGTTACTTGGCTCTACCCAATAACTATATATCATTTAACTTTAAACCACACTTAAAATAATAATATAATTATACATATGTGCATGTCAGTATAGCAGCTAATACATGTTTTTTTTTTTTAAAACATTCAAATGTGAAAGACACCTTCAATGAATATTTAAAACTTACACAAAATCAGATTCTTGTAAAAATGCAAGTACATGCATTGTTCCATCTGTCAAGCTAAAATATATACATATATCTTAGCTCTTAGTTTGACATGCTAACTGAACGAGCATGTTCAGTTAGCATATATGCTAACTGAACGTCGAGCATGTCAAGCTAAGAGCTAAGATATATATATATATATATGTATTCCATTCCTTTACATTTAATATTTAAAATACAAATTAGCAAAATAAACACAATTACACTGCGCTAAACAGCCACATCGACAAACAATACGTTAATTACCTGTACTCGGTGCGCCATATTGTTTGTCTGTTCTCTGTAAACCTCATGTCTCCTTAAATATCCTTGCGTCAGCGTCGTCAATTCGCTTTTAATCTGCCATGTACGGTAATATCTCTCAGCCACCGTAGTGTCGTGTCAGGTGGGCGTGTCGTGTAGGGGGCGTGTCGTGTAGTGTCGTGTACTGGCCGCGGCCGCAGCTAGACCCTTCTCTGCTGCTGGTCTACCTGGGGATCCAGATCCAGCAGGTGGCCTTCGCCGTCATCGTGGCCGCGCTGATCTCCAAACACCTGGAGCACCCGCTCAGACTCTCTGTGACCGCCTGCAGGTGAGGGGGGGGGGGGACATTTGATCTGAAAGAGCTTCAATGGTGTTCCTCACACGTGCTGATGAAGAGTTTTTATAACAGAGCACTCTTTGTTATTGTATCTACAGGATAAAAAAATATTTAAATGACCAACAATTCAAGTGTAGTCTCTTGAAAATCATACATCACTTTTCCTCCGTCATAAATCATCCATTTCTTCCACTTACTAACTCAAATCTCTTCTCGCTGTGAGGTGGTTTGTCATTTATCCAATTACACGGAGGATTGTTTATTTCTAATCTTCTTTATTTCAAATGTATTTGTTATTTGAAGTCGTGCATGATGTCTGCTTATTTCTGCCGTTTGAGCACTACATCCACGATTCACTTTGCTTTGTTCACTTGTTTTATTATTATTATTATTAATGATGGACATTTCCCCCTTTAATTCTGTCATGTAGGTGAGTTGTTCTGCTTTGTGAAGCCCCTGAGCAAGTGTTGTTTGTGATATTGGGTTATATAAATTGGATAATTAACTACCAAATACATACATTAATATCATTACTATAAACATTATTAAAGCTTTAAAAATTATATTTAATTCCTGATAAGATGCCATTTGAATACCCTGTGACTGACGAATGTCCTCTCTGTCCCTGCAGGCGGCTCAGAGCTGCAGTTCGCTCTCTTTTTGTCGTGATCCATTTCTATAAAAACCTGTCTGAAAATGAGTTGATCAGATTTTGGCCACTTTATGATGTCATAAACGATGTTTTGTCTTGTGTAACCATTAGCCAATCAGCAACCAAGGTACCCCCCCCCCCCCCACCTTATCACCTGAATCTCCTCCTAGAGCACCGTTGAGTTCTTTGTAACCAAATGTCTCTCATACCCCTTTCACACCAACGGTGTTTCAGGGCCGGTTCGGTGCTGGTGCTTGAAAAGCACTGGGTTTTCCTGTTCACACCGCAGCGGAGCAGCGTCATAGCTCCGGAATCCGGTTCGTTTCGAGCACCAAAAAGTTGTCCGTCTAGAAGCAAGAACCGCATACGTCACGCTTACGTCGGAGGGGGGCGAGATTAACCTGAGCTAACACTTAAGGCGAGTACGGCAAAATACAGTTGTAACAAGCAGTAGTGCTGAGCAAAGTGACTAGAACGCAACCACACACTTGTTAAAAAAAACACACTTTATAAAGTCAGGCAACACTAACCAGGCTTCGTGTGATTCTGTTTACTTTGACCATCCGTTCGCTGTTATTGATCATTGTGGAGAGCAGGGCAGACGTTTTGTTTGTTATTATAGCAGCTATCGGATGGAATCAATACATGGGCTGCACAGGTTGTCATGTCCGACTATCACAAGTAGAATCATAATGAAAAATACGTCGGTAAAAAGTGCCTGTAGAAAACTGCTTAGCAAGTAGTCAGTTTAGCTTCGGTTGCTATGCTAACATCACCCATGTTATACCAGAGAAACTTTCATAACAGCGTTGTGATGCCAAACAGCGTCAATTCAGACTGACACCAAACAGCGTCAATTCAGACTGACACACATTCACTTAAGGGGAACTGGGGATATGTATCAGCTGCTTGTGTGACAGTCAGACAGTGAATACTTTAGAGCCGTGTGAGCTAACCCGGAGCTAACGGGAGAATACACTCCCGTTGAAGAGCAGCCGGCCAGCACTGCAGCGGTCGGTAAATGCCGCTGAAACACATTAATAAACAATGAACCACGGCACTCTGGAGAAAAGTATAAGGTTGGAGAAGTCGTTATTTAATTTAATCTGGCTTCGTATGATTAAAAGCAACGCAGTCCCCGGCCCGTTGTTGTGAGGTGAGCTCCGGCGTTGGGGAGAAACTCAGCGACGTAAACTGTGACGTCATGACGCAGCAGCGGCAGCACCAGTCGGGCTCTGAGCGGTGTGAAAAGAGCCGGCGCTAAACCGAAGAACCGGTTCTGAACCAGAAAAGCTCTAGCACGGAGCTTGAACCGGAGTTGCGTTGGTGTGAAAGGGGCATCAGAGGGGCGTGGGGAGGGGCTCCTTATTTTCATCTAAAGTAACAGACAGAGAATCAGCACTTTGGAAACAGGGCTGAACCAGAGGGGATTATGGGTAATGCTGCAATGATCTGTTTGGTGTTTCAGCCAATCAGAGACAGGTTCTGTATATATCTGAGACCTGTGATATATTGATGAAAAACAGTATAATAGGGGACCTTTAAGTGAGGTTTTCAATGCAGGATGTTTACTGGGTGATTTTCACACTGTGGTATTAATATGTTTATTTCAATAACTTTGTTGAGCTTGTGTTTAGCTCTATTTCTATCTCACTGAACAAAGTCCCTGTATGTGAACTGGTTCAGCTGGTAAGGCTGGTTATGAAACAAAGAAGAGGAGCTGCAGACAGGTGAGGGCGTAAAAGTCCAAATATTTAGTCAGACTGCCAGAAGCCATTTTACAGCTCGACGGAGCAGGAGGACAACAGGGTGAGTGTTAACACCAGGATCTGCTTTCTAACACATTATTTACTCTGTTTTACTGGATGTCAGAACATCAGCGTCCTAGAGTCCAATGAGACTTCTACAAGTGGTGTAAACTTTTTGTATTTCCTGTTTTCTGATTCATCAAAGCAACATAACATGCGACAACGCAGCGCAGTCAAAATGGGGAGCGGCCTGTCTGAAGTCTGACTGATTTGATGTATTTTAACCAAGTGTTAAACTTTCCTGTCGGCTCCCAGACCGTAGTGGAGGAAACAGGGGTGACTCTCTGCAGTCTCCCAGGGCCGAAGCCAGTGGCGTCGCCTGAGCCCCGAATGTTTTTTCTGTAGCCCCGGATCATTCTCCCTCAATAATTCATGCGCGGCACAACTCTGAATTGCGTAACGTCACTTGGGTCACTACGCGCCTGCGTACCTCAAAACTTCAAAACATCACACATATTTCGTCAACACGTGTTTCTTGTCAACACTCAATGGAGTAAACTACTAGACATGTAAAAAAAAACAGACATTAAGCAGCTACGTTGCCGTTTCGCTCCCTGCAAAAAAATCTTCGGACTTTCTATGACTGATTGAACCGGGTGCTGGCCGAGCCGCGCAGGACATAAGCGACGGACCTGTGAAGCTTTACAGGAGGCAGAGGCTTAGATCACTGTACGACAGAGTTGTTCACCGTGTGCACAGACAGGGTGAGATATGGAAAGCCGAATGTGCCATATAACGCATACATAGTCTCGCGCGAAAAAACGCGCGAATATACGGACCTCCCCGTTTTTTCGCGCGGTTTTTAATATGATAATGAGCCCCTCCTTCTGATTTCATTAGCCAATGAGTTCAAAGTGTCTTCAACCAATCAGTGAGGGGTAAAGCCAGACCAAAGCAATCTGTAGATGAAAAGTTCCTGACATTGTGAGGCTGTGCTGTAAATTGTACATTATTCCAGATGCAGGGGACTAAGTATTCATTTGTATATAATAAATATATCACCTTACACCTTATCACCTTGTCAAAATGTTCAGTACAGTCTCTGGTCTTGCTAGAAATGCAAAGTCACTCACCTTAGAGCACTGTTTTATGAGATACTTAGCTTAGAAATCCGATTTTTGGAAAACTTCAAAACTGTTGTGAAACACAGATTTACTCATGTCCTCCTTTTATTTTGGTGTTTCAGATTTGGTTCACCAAAGTCTTTGGTTCACAAAAGTAGTGAAATATATGAATTACACTATAGGCCTACATAAATGTGTTATTCATGTCTAAAATGAAAATGTGTAAATTAGAATTTGGAGTAAGTAAAATTGTTCTATCACTCTACTTTCACCACAGAAAAGTTACATCAGGACTGATTCATGACTTCATATTCCATACTGAGGTTCATGTGATGTGTACAAATACAAATTGAGCATTACAAACTTTTTTTTCAACCAACTATTTATGTTAACATAAGAAACTGTAAAATTTCAATATTTACAATATCAGAACTTTCTCAACCAACTATTCATTATACATGTAAAGACAGGGGAGCAGTGTCATGGTCTTTGTCCGTCTTCCAAGACAGTGGGGCTGGCTGCTGTGTAGGTGGGGGTGATGGTGCATGGGCTGCTGGTGGCTGTGTCGGAGGGAGGTAGGTGGGATTGTCCCGGGTTGATCGTGATGGCTGTGGTGGAGGCCTTTGTACCGAGGTGTATCTTAATCTTATGGCAGGCACAGATGGAGGTGGAGGCTGCTGTAGTGATGCTGGTCCTCTGGTCCTTGGTGGTGATGGCTGTGGTGGAGGTCTTTGAGCCACGGTAGATCTTGACCTGGGGGCCGGCACAGATGAAGGTTCTGGCTGCTGGATAAACACCGCCTGTGGGCCACTGCCCAGGCAGCTGTGAAATCTGAAAAAAAACATACCTTTACATTTAGCAAATCAAAATAACTGTATGACGTATTTGTCTCTAATAAAAAATGGAAATAAATTCACATGCCATATTATGACTTTTATGAAGGATTAAAGCCTTCTTAATTTACAGTATATAATAAAGTGATAACACACACTGATTGACTGTACTCCCTTTAATCTGGCTCTGTTATACACTGATAGGCACAATATTAGCATAGCATTAGCGCTATTAGCATTGCAATACTATGAACAATTATGAACTCAGACCAGCATTTCACATATTTATACAAGCAGAATACACTTGAAATGTAAGCCAAACTAGTGCACGGGAGTCATACACCTAGTAACATAGTGGTTTTAGCCCTACAT